GCCTGGGTGTTTGCTCAGCTTCCATGTTCTTGGGCAGGTTTTGCAGCCCATAGCCCTTGCGCCCAGCAGTCTCTGCTGAGATAGAATCCCAGTTTGCTGTGACTCCAGATGGACTGACTACGTGTGCTGGTTTGAATTGCTTTCCCATTTGTTTTTTTCCTGAATCCTCTTTACCCTTGGATTCTATCTTCCCTTTATCTCCTTTCTACAGAAAACTTTTTCAGAAGTCTTTGCTGACCTATTTCAGGTCAAATTTTAAGTATTTAAAATTCTGTTCTCTTTCTGCAAGTTTTAGGTAATGTACTTTTGAGATATTTTATGGAGGACACAACGTTAGTGCCATTTTATATTTCTGAATGTTATTTGAGGCCACACTGTCAAGGTCCTCCCGCTCTTCTGTGGCTCACCTGCACGTTCCTGCACACTCTTTTGGAATAAGCTAATCCCTTTTCTGACTTCATCTGCTTCTTCTGTGCCAAAGGAGTTACAGCCCTTTACATTCTTGACTTGCAGTCAAATCTTTATAATCCCGGTTTCAAACTGAGTATGCATTTTCTGTCTCGTGAGGATGAGACTTTGTGGAATGACACACGCATGGCATATGTTCATAGTTATGCAGAAAACAGCTTCATATTAAAAACTTGTTTACTTCTTTGAAATTGAGTTTTCTGACAGATAGGACTTATGTTAAATATAATTTTAAATGAGTATTTCACAATTCATTGTCTTGGAATAAAACCCTACCACAAATCAAATATGCATATTAAAAATTCTTTTGTGATGCTTTCAGTCTGGGCCTTTCAATAAAATCTCAGGCATTTTTTTTGGTAACAATGGGAACCAAGTACTATCTTGTGAAAGCATAACACCAAACTTAGTTCTTAACGCAATTTTTTTTAAAGCTTATGTAAGCATTCTTAATAAACATTAGATGCTTTAAACTATATTTTGCTATTTGGGTGGTTGTTATTATTATTACTATTACTATTATTTTCCTCTTATCTATAAAGTCAGTATGGTGTCCCTCTGTGGGACAGAGGAGGATGGATAGTGTAAGTGTATAGTTAAGAAGTATGTTTTTTTTCTCCCATGAATACATGTATTTTTTTTCCTGTAAATACATATAAGTCTGTCTAGAAGTTCAGAAAATCCTGTATGACATAATGGCATAAGGAAAAAAAAGTTTTGCCTTAAGTATACAAGAAATAATTCTACAAACTGATACCAATGGAGATGCAACTTTCCTTTTTTTTTTTTTTGTTTCTATTAAAAGGGAATACTTCTAAAATAATTTTGAAGCAAGAAAACAACATAGTTCATGGAAATGTTACCTGACAGATAGGTTACCTCTTGAAGGGGTGGTTGCATTTTAAAATTCTGCTTGTCTGCAAATCTCTCTTAAAAAATATTCTGTTCTAAAATCTTACTATTGTAAGAACAGAATAGTTATTTACTCCCTCAAAGTTGCTGGAGTTTGTTCCCATGGTGAGAATGATGTGCACATTTTGCATTAAGTTATCTAGCACGTTTATCCCCTTTCATTTCAGAGGGAGTGTAAAAAGCAAAGACCAAATTCTGGGAAAGTCTCATGACCAGCTTGGTTAATCATTTAAAGAGCTTGGGTTTAGTTATATTAGGTTAGATCCACAAAGGGCAATTTCATTTCTGAACTGTTGTTGCAAGTATCTACCTGAAAATCTGAGATATTCAAAAGCCTTGCTCAGCTGCTGTGTGAACTTGGAGATATCTAGTCCTTCACATTCAAACTCCTTACATAGCTGGAATTCTGATTCCTCCTAACCTGAAACATGCTGATAACAAAGTGCTGGGTTTTTTCTGATAGCTTAGGACCAACGTTTTTCTGACGTGTGGGATTAAATGAGGGACTCTGGGACAAACAGGGACAAACACCTTCCTGGTGCTTAGATGACACGGTTGGCCAGCCTGCAGGGCAGCAAGGGTCACACTTGTGTACTGTCAACATTTGTGTTGGGTTGGAACTTGTGGTTCTCCGTTCTGATTCTTTGGGGGGGCGTGGCATGGAAAAGAACTTGTGTTTCCCATAACCCCAAACCTTGTTGGCTGTTTGAAATTTGAGTCATACTGGATAAAAGCAGTGGGAGGTGTCTGCTTTGTGCTGCTGTCCACTTCTCTGGGTGAATGTACTTCTCAGTATGTCACATCGCCTGCGCCAGTGGGTCACCGTAAGAAGCAACGCTTGCAGTTTTTTAGAAGCCAGATTGAATCTCGACCATTAAGGATTTTAAAATCCAAAAAGCAGCTCACCGTTGCCTCTGTCATTTTAAAAGACTAATTCCTGGTTTTGATCATGTCTGTCAATTAATTTCTCTACTCCTGGCTCTCACTCCAAGAATTCCTTCCTCTCCTTCAAATACCTTTCCTCCATCTGAATTTAGCATTGTCTGGTTGAATGAACAGAAAAAAAAAAATTAAATGCCTTTGAACTTCTGTTGTTTCCATTGGGTTATGGAGAATTTTCTCATGATTTCAAAATTTAAAACTGTGAATTGTTACTCAGTGTGGAAGCTTGTCAAATTTAGGGACATTTTCCAAGAGCTTGATCTAAGTTCAGTCTGTTTTCTCCAGATTGTCTTACAAACATTTTTTTCAGCTGTAATACAAAGAGTGAATTATGTTCTTTGCTTGTGCATAATCTATGAGACAGGTAAACACAATTCCTTTCATCTTAATGACAACATCTTGTATTATTTACATGCTATCTAAGACTGGGTTTTTTCTGGTTATATGAACATATTAGGATTAGTATTGTTTATGTTAACATGGAGATCACTTCTGACAACACATACACACAAAATTAATTTCATTACTCAAGTCAATGAGGTTTTTTACTTGTTTTTATTGAATTACGAAGGTGGTTTTTTTTTCTGAAATGACACAGAAAAATTACTGTCTACACTATTCAAGGTACAGTGTGTTAGCACTGGGTTCAAGTGCACGGACAAGGTGTCATTTTGTTGCTCCGACACATCTCAGGCAGTGATCAGGGACTATTTGTTCTTTGGAATAATAACAATGACTCTTTCAAAACTGGTAGCTTTCTGATGTAGAGAAAGGATATTCTACTCATTTAACATTACCGTAAAGTTTACATATGTCCAAAGCCGTAACGGGATCCTTATAATGAAGGACAAAGTACGGCTTTCAAATAGCTGATTTTCTGGTGTATGCTGGTAACTTAAAAACTTGCATTTAGGTATTACATAAGGCTAGTTCTTGATATTGTAGAAAACACCATGGTAAATTATCCATAAGCCATATTCAGAAATCAGAGATTTTCAGTGAAAGTATAAGAAGGCCACACTCTCGACCCCATAAATATCACCCCAGTTGAAATGTCTAAAACCGCTGAAGAGCTGAGTGGCTGAAGGTACTGAACTTACAACAGGCTGCTTATTTTTACAGCACCCAAGAAAGAAATTGGTTTCTTTAGCAAGGTTCTTCTACTGCAGGCAAAAGTTCACGTGAGTCATCAGTCTAAGGGCATCCTGCTAGGAAAGCCCCTTCTCTTGGGAGTGAGCTCTGCCTTCCAATTAGGTTATGTCTAATTTAAACTACAGAGGACATTGGTAAAAAGTCCATTTATCTTCATTTTCTTCTGTTGACTTAGTGGACATTCAGTCTCATCTTTCTTCCCTTAACATTTGGTAGTTTTGTTAGTGTTATGCAAGAGTAATTAGTCAGCTGGTTAACAAATTATGATGCTTATGTTACATTCCCTGTATATATCTTTGTACTTAAAAATAGAAATCAAATTGCTTGTTAGTTCCCTCTAGTGACAGGTGACGAATATACCAAAATTAAACTTTAGTCATAGATGGAAGCAGCACGACTGCGAAGTTGCTGAACTCTCTGGTAGCAGGGTAAGGTGGAAAAGTGATGTCAAATACCTACCTAGTTCAGTTCTTCATGAAAAATTAAAAGATTTCTTTGCTCCCTCGGGCACTCGGGAGACGAGGCTCTGTTGTTCAGACTGGCTGCTTTTTTTTTCCTTTCCTGTCAGTTGGGATATCTCCGCATTGGGTGATTCTAGTATGTGTACTTTGCTGTCCACTGTAACGAGTAATCTTTTTTAGGTCTGTCTTCATTAAGGAGAGCTATATTTAGTTTTATTCTGTGAATGCCATCTAGGAAATCTATTTAAATTTTAATTGCCTATTACTTTGAAATAAATAATTAGCAGATGTGTATAAAGCAATTTGGAATTAACACTTCGGAATTAATACATAAAATGTGGGGGTTTTTAATACTGTTTTACTTGTGAGAAAAATAATATGCTTACAGTTCTGTAAGCATGCCACTGTATTTCTCTGTAAGGAATAATGATGAATTAAAATTAGGCTATTATTTTTACTCAGGGTTCCCCAATACATTTCATTATATCATTTAAGTACTAATATACTTAGTTCGTCTCAGTATTTTTTAAACAAGTGTTCCTGATAAATACATTTAGTTGAGAACATTTAGAAATGGTATTGAAAATTATTTCTTAAATCTGTTTTAATCTGTTTTCTTTAATCTTAATTTCATGTTACTGCTTTCAGTTGATTGATGTTACTCATTATTTTAGTCCTTCTTGCAACTCTTAGTAAGTCCTCCTTATTTCTGGAAATGTTTGATAGCTCAGGTGAAGCTACCGACCCTTCTATTAGATAACAGAATTGGTGCCTTTGTTTGTTTAGTTTGGGTTTACCAAGGATAATTTGTTCAATAAAAAAATTAAAATATCTAAAACATCTATTAATATGTTTTACTCCTTTTCTCTTCCAACATCTACCTTTCTACTTTTTCTCTACTCGGCCGTGTTTCATTTAGCAGACAGCACTTTGAAAAGCAGTTCTATTCCTTAACCTTGTCATTTCACAGCAGGTTTTTCTTCTTGTGATAAACGTGATAAAGCCAATAAACATGATAAAGCCAACCTTCACCTGACTGAATGACTCCTAATGTTGTCTTTGCAGGATGTGGTACTGCAACAGGAGGAGCTGAAGATGAAGGTGAGGCTGAAGCTGGCTGGATTGAAGGTGCTGCCATCCTACTCTCTGTTATCTGTGTTGTACTTGTCACTGCCTTCAATGACTGGAGCAAGGAGAAGCAGTTTCGTGGGCTTCAAAGTCGTATTGAGCAGGAACAGAAATTTACTGTTGTCCGAGGTGGACAGGTTATCCAAATCCCGGTGGCAGAGATAGTAGTCGGTGACATTGCACAGGTGAAATATGGTAAGTTTTGTCAACTAGGTGAAAACTTTTCTGAACGTTATCCATTCTCCTTTCCCTTTCTAGCAGAATAGACTCACTTCACTGGAAGTGATTTAAAAGACAGAGAATTATGTGGTGTCATTACTGTCCACAGTCAAATAAGAATTTGGCTGTTAGGGCAGAAGGAAAACCTAAGATACTTGCTGTAAAATTGCACTAGGTTTATGTCTGTAATCTTCACTTCCTTTTACTGACAAGGACAAGAGCTTCATACAGATGTGATTCTCTTTCATGGAGGACTGCACTATTTGGGATTTTTGGTTTCTGTCCAGTTAGGAATAAGAGTAAGTATTTCTAAATGCTCGGTGCAAGGGAATTGTGCCTCTGTGCTCACCCCACTGGTAGGCTGCTGCAGAGCTATGGATCCTGTCAGTACTCCCAAGTCAGCAGCTTCCAGTTGGTGGATGCCTTGTAATTATAGGCCACAGGAACAGCCCTTTGCTCTAGTGTCCAGAAGACCTTTGCAGGAACTCTGTGTACTCTGTGTTTGAACTGGCAAATCCCAGCAGATGCCCATTCTATCAGCCATCAAAAACCTTTGGTTTTATTCTACATTTAAATGTAATTACTGTTAATTTTGATTTTTTATTATAAAAATCACTATTTAATTACAAAAACAATGTTCCTGAACCACTCTGTCTTTTCATTACCATGTTGTTCCTGAAAGGTGATCTTCTACCTGCCGATGGGATATTTATTCAAGGAAATGATCTTAAAATCGATGAAAGTTCTTTAACTGGAGAGTCAGACCAAGTCCGCAAGTCTGTTGACAAAGACCCAATGCTGCTGTCAGGTAAGTCTGCCTGAATTCTTGCTAAGTTACCTTTGTGAACTGCTCTGTTCATGGTTTGTCTTGATTTATTTTGGTTTTCCATGCCGTCAGGTTTTGGTAGCTTAGATACAACCAGTCTTCTGAAGACAGACAATGACCTTGTCTCTTTGTCATACGAAGGGCATGCTACTGTCTTTTGATTATGTGCAATTATTTCTGTTCATCATACTTATTTTATAAAGTGAGAAAATAGTGAAGCATTTTCAAAGGAAAAGGAAAATGTCCCTTAGGGAAACAACAGTTGTTTCAATTAATTCTACGCTAGTTTTAATTTAACCATTAATTTTCAAAGCCTTTTAAAATCTCTTTAAACACTTTGTGTGTATACTAGATACAAAAGGAAAAGAAATAATTGTGCTTAGAAGGAAATAGATATACTAAAATATTTGGGCTTAAATTCAAGTTGTTATGTTTGTACTTTAATATAATTCTGTACCCTAAATCAGTTAAATAGAATGAGATTTTTAAAAATTCTAACAAAGATAGTTTGTTAAATATGTTGCTTGTCAATAGATTTCAGCTGGAATGTGGTCACAAAATAACAGCCTGTTGATCTCATATTCATGATGACTGTGTTACAACCTATTAATTAATTTTAAGCTCAGAAAGCTTCAAGCACCTGTCTGCCTGAAACTATGTATTAAAAATTATTTTGTCCAAGTGACAGGAATTTTATTGCTTCTGAGAAAGAAGTAGCAAAAAGAATTTCTTCTGCTCTTTTAGGAAAAAAATTCTTTAGGCTTCTTTAAAAATATTCCAGCTTTTATTTGTTAATTGGTTTTGCTGCCATGTCCCTGCCATAGGTGTATGCCTTTCACAGTTTATGTTATAAACCCTCAAGTTTTTCCAAATTGTAAATGTCTGAAAAATGTGTTTACATATGTTCAGTAGAGGTTAATAAAGATTAGTGGAGTAGCTGCAAATCTTGAAGGCTGCACCCTTGCAGAGAAAATATAATTAAATGCTCAGGATTTGCAGGCAGCACACTTGCAGAAATGCTGAGTAGTGAGGACAGTCCATTTTTGAATTCTTGGCATCCCTCTGGCTCCTGATATACTGTAGGGGAGCTTAAAGAGGTGTTTTCACTTTCAGGAGTAATGTATGAAGCTACTGACTGTTATTTTTGCTAGATTTAGTAATTTGATTTTATCCTTGTAGTGCAGATATTTAAGCTTGATTGTAGATTAAGAATTCCCTTGGAGATGCTTTCCAGTGTGTAAACAGGAAGGTCTGCAGTGATATTTTGAGGAAGAGTAGCTCACTGTTGCTGTTCCTAACAAAATTTATAATCCAATATTGTCCTTGAAATATTTGTGCATTTTTTTTGGAATGAGGGTTTTTTTTTTTTTTTCTCGTAGCTGATAGTTGTACTGTTTTTAAATGTAACTTCATGACTGGCATAAAAATTTCATTTTAAAAATAAAGTTTTAAATGCTATTTTGTTACAGAAACATCTGTTATGAAATATTATGGTCTTCTATCAACTCCTGCTGTTGAATACTAGAAGTTTTCTGATTATGAAGTTTCCATTGATTTGTGTGTTGTCATAGATTCCTAAACTGGATTAGATCTTTTTGAATGCCCATAGATTTCAGTGGTGGCTGTGAAAAAAAGTAAATGTATTGCCCTGACAGGCATGTTGAGTCGAGAAAGGGAAAGCAGTCAAGTTAGGAGAAAATGTGTTTTTATTTTTCTCCCAAAATCTCAAATTTCATTGCTATAAGGAGGGAAATTTGTCTTTATGGTTTTATTGCAGAGTTAAGTAAATTTGTACTCTTTTATTTTCCTCTATGACTATGTAATCTTGATTGTGATTACAAAGAAGGTGAAGAAATGATGTGATATTTCACAAGCACTGCACACACCTTTGTTCCATACTTTACTAATGAATTTTTACTCATGCTGTGCTGGAAAATCTCTTAACTCTATTTCCTCAGGAGCAGCGTTGACAATTTGAGGTTCTATGATGCAAAACCCCCACCTTCTCCCATAGATACAGCGCAAGGTTTAATCCCAACAATGCAGGAGCTGATGTGCCCACTGGAAATTGTTGTCTAAACCCCAAAAACTTGGAAACCACTGTGTCTTTCAGGCTGGGTTTGATGTGGTTTAAAAACTGAGTTCCTGATAGATGTTAGCCTAGACCTATGTTTTAATAAAATTTGTCTGAAGAACCCACTCTGCCCCCACCAAAGCAACAAGCAGACCTTCAATTTTTCCTTTATCTTTGCATCTGAAGACACCAATAAGTTGTCTCCAGGTGGGCTTTTGTAATTCAGACAAATAATGTCAGGATGTTATTTGCCACTGTTCTCCGTTAATCATCTGTTGGGAATGAAAACAGTTCAGGTTGGACAGAGGAATAACTGAAAAAAGGTACCATTTGAACTGCAGCCACAGTTTGTTTTACGAGTCTGAATTTGGTGAAAGATAAACACCCCGAATCAGGAAATGTTATTTTCACCATTGACACTTGAAACAACATTTTTAATATTCAATCAGTTTCAATGACATAATTAAACTAAATGCGTTTCTGTGCTTAATGTCCTGTTTAATCATCCAGATCGTCATTTAGTGTACTTGAGAAGCAGTTCTAAGAGCACAAGTGATGACTAAACCAGATGGTTCATTTCCATCTGCATATGGCACATTTGGTACCACCTAGGAAGGCAGAAATGGAAATGCAGACTCTGATATACCTGAAACCAAAAGAAGCAGCTTCTCTTCTATCGTTCCACTGTACTTCTAAAACATTTTCCTTCTTTTAGTTCATTAACAGAGATTTGCATGCATGGTGTAGCATGAGCCATTGCATCTGAAGTCATCAGCATAAACAGGACTGTGGGTGACGTTAAATTTCTTTGTAGTGGGCTTGGGCATGCATCAACCAAAGAGATGAAGAGACCTTGGGCAGCCAAACTGACTGCTGCTCAGTTGTCTAGATTGAAGCTGATGTGGCCTTTGAGTTTTGTAGAGTTCAAAGTCTGCAGAAATCCATGGTTCCTAAATACAGAAATTTTGAATGTGAGTCTGGCCTCAGTATTGCACAGTGTGAAGTACTTTGGGGTATCACATATTGTAATAGTTAAGACTGTAAAAAATACCTTATGAGGCTTACTATTTAAAACTTTTTTTCCAGGTATTTAGACTAGTTTGATGGAGGTATGAAAGAGTTACCTAAAGGAGCTCACCTGGTGGAGTTCTCACTGAACTTGGACTGACAGACTATAACTTTATCCTAATGTAACTTTTAAAAGCGTGTATTTCTGTCAGTGCACAAGAAGGATTTGAAACAAAGAAAATGGAGCTTATTCAAGACCAAATAAACAAAAGAAATCTCTTGGTCATGGTGCTTTGTTAGGTTTTGGAAGTAAAATGCAGCTTGATTAAGGAATCGGGTCAGTTATTGCCGGGAGAAAAATAGTTGTGATTCTGTCTTAATTCCCTGCCAAAAAATATTCCAAGCTAGGCTTCTAGCACCGCAGAAATTTTCAGAACCGAGCAGCTCACTTCAAAAGTTCCAAATTATTTGGATGTGTTAAGATTACTTGTAGATGAGGTGGGTTTTGGATTATTTTTTCCATAGAGGATATTCTGATGGTTGTTTCACTTTAGTATTATCATAGGTTACCTCTTCATAATTGCAGGGGCTAAAGCAGTTGTTTAGATATGCAGATAGAACATTTTTGTTCACCACAAGTTTGCTGAAAGTAGCAAAAGAGTACAAACCCCCCAACTGGCACGTTCTGGTTTTCTCGGGTTTTCAGGCCTATTTCCAATGCTGTGATTAGATTTGGGGGTTTCTGAGCAGCCTCATGTCTGGTTGCATTTTCGTCTAAAAAGCACGTGCTGTAATAGATTCCTTATCTGTCTAATCTGTCCATCTCTTTTCTTACTAAACTAGACTTCTTCCTTTTCTGTCTTGGAATATTTGCCATTGGTCAACTTCAAAGTAAATACTCAGCATGTGACAAAATGTATACACTAACAGTGAAAAATTCGTTTTGGGAGGGAAAGAAATCAGTAGAATTGTTCACCATGAAGTTGAAATACATGCTTTGTGTACAGATAGGTGAAAATCATGCATTCATTCCAGAATCCCACTGATGTGACAACAACTGATTGAAGCCATGGAGCCCATTTCTTTATGCAAGCTAATATAATTTGAAATGGTGACACTGCCAGCACCAGGAGATTCAGCTCCTTGGTTTAGCCTGGAGAGTTCAGGTTCAGCTCCTTGGTTTAGCTGAAGAGTTTTTCCAGTCGTACTAGTGGAACGTAATCTGATGATAAATTTGGACCTGCTCTAAAACATGCTTTTGTGTGCACCTTCACAGTTTTGAACTGTGTTTTACAAGACTAATGTTAAGAAAAGGTTCAGAAAGGCATTTCAAGTTAAGACATTTTTTCCCGTTAAAGGTGTGCAGAGGTAAGCCTGGAATCTGGTGGGTGCGTGTTTTCTTAACAAAGCTGCCTGGGAGACATAGGTATACGTGCCATTTTTTGGAGGGTGGTTCTACCCACCTTTGTAGTCCAATACAGAAGACTTCTTCAAAACAAAACATAGGAATACTAAAAGCAAGTTCTTAATTAATATATATTTTAAATAGTGTTACATCCTAAAAGGAGGTTTCTCTAAATTTCTGAGTTAAGTTTCAGACACTTTCTCTTTTGTCAGAACCAGTACAGCCAAGACCATTCTGGTTTTTAAACCTCTTTTATGTTTCTTTAGGCTTGAATGTAATTGGATTTTCTGTTGTTTGGGTTCTAATTTATATGTTTGTGATGTTTTGCTCTATCATATGAAAGGAAGCAAATGACTTTTTAAGGAATCAAATTTTTTCTCAAAGGGCCATAGGAACAGTTCTCAATGCACTGAGGTCGGTCACCTTTTTTTTTTTTTTTTTTTTTTTTTTACTATATCTGACATTTGTGCATTTTTGCTTCTGTTTGGCTTATTT